CACCTGTCCAACTGCTCGTTAACACTTAATTTCTAAGCAGCCAATCACATGGCGGCAACTCAGCGCATTTAGGCATGTAGACATGGTCAAGACAATCTGCAGTTCAAATCGAGCATCAGTATGGGAAAGAAAGGTGATTTGAGTGACTTTGAACGTGGCATGATTGTTGGTGCCAGAAGGGCTGGTCTGAGTATTTCAGAAACTGCTGATCTACTGGGATTTTCACGCACAACCATCTCTAGGGTTTACAGAGAATGGGCCGAAAAAGAAAAAACATCCAGTGAGCGGTAGTTCTGTGGGCGGAAATGCCTTGTTGATGCCAGAGGTCAGAGGAGAATGGCCAGACTGGTTCGAGCTGATAGAAGGGCAACAGTGACTCAAATAACCACCCGTTACAACCAAGGTGGGCAGAAGAGCTTCTCTGAACGCACAGTACGTCGAACTTTGAGGCAGATGGGCTACAGCAGCAGAAGACCACACCGGGTGCCACTCCTTTCAGCTAAGAACAGGAAACTGAGGCTACAATTTGCACAAGCTCATCGAAATTGGACAATAGAAGATTGGAAAAGCGTTGCCTGGTCTGATGAGTCTCGATTTCTGCTGGGACATTCGGATGGTAGGGTCAGAATTTGGCGTCTACAACATGAAAGCATGGATCCATCCTGCCTTGTATCAACGGTTCAGGCTGGTGGTGGTGGTGTCATGGTGTGGGGAATATATTCTTGGCACTCTTTGGGCCCCTTGGTACCAATTGAGCATCGTTGCAACGCCACAGCCTACCTGAGTATTGTTGCTGACCATGTCCATCCCTTTATGACCACAATGTACCCAACTTCTGATGGCTACTTTCAGCAGGATAATGCGCCATGTCATAAAGCTGGAATCATCTCAGACTGGTTTCTTGAACATGACAATGAGTTCACTGTACTCAAATGGCCTCCACAGTCACCAGATCTCAATCCAATAGAGCATCTTTGGGATGTGGTGGAACGGGAGATTCGCATCATGGATGTGCAGCCGACAAATCTGCGGCAACTGTGTGATGCCATCATGTCAATATGGACCAAACTCCCTGAGGAATGCTTCCAGCACCTTGTTGAATCTATGCCACGAAGAATTGAGGCAGTTCTGAAGGCAAAAGGGGGTCCAACCCGTTACTAGCATGGGGTACCTAATAAAGTGGCCGGTGAGTGTAGTTTCCCAACTCATTATAATTGATCAATGGATGGTGGCTGCATTGACATGAGGGATAGGCCATCCCAGGCTTTATCCTAAATATTTAGTAAAATATATTTCCCCTTTGTGATCTGAGGAATAAAGTATAAAAAAGCTGGGAGGCTTTAAACATTCCTTAAACTCTGCTAAAACATCAAGACCTTGAACACAATGTGAGACATTAGCTGTTATTTTTATAGTCTCCTCTGTGTGTATTTTGCTTTTGTTTATGTATTGATTTTTTTTTTATGTCTCTATTCAGCACTTTGTTGTGCCTGGGTTGAAATGTTAAAGCGCTTCATTAATGAAGTTGTGTTTATGTCTATTATCTGCTGTATTATCACTACCTTGGCAAAAAAAAAAATAGATTAGATGTTTTGTCATCAAAACAATTAACCGATGAAGTCTATTTTTGTAATGATTTTGGTAAAAGTAATCAATTTTATAGCTCTTTTTTTCTGGAGAAACTTTTTGGGGTTATTTGGGCTAAAGTCTGTAAAATCTATAATAAGGACAGAAACGGTTTTTGGAAGTTTAACCCCTTAGCTCCTATCCCAGCTCCTCCTGCATTCTTGAAGGTGTAGAAACAAATAAGGTAATTTAAATGAACTGAATAGTAATGGTTTTGTAGATTAAAAATCAGTTTCATCCAATTAACTAATGACCGACCTTCTTTCAATGTTGTGGTATGGCCGCCAACTTCTGGATGGCACAACTCAGTATGCAGGATTGTTATACACTATTTATTAGTGACAAAAATGTAGAATGCACTTTGTTGTTCTGTTTTTAAGCATCAACGTCTCAGGCTAGGATTTGATGATAGACGTACAGGGCATTACTGGAACAGGTAAAAGCTGGAGAAAGACGTGTCACCAATAAGTGGGGCCGATTATGTGGGTCTTAAAGCATTTTGTGGAGCTTATTTGAACAGACCTCTGGGAGCAACCATAACCACCAGTTTAGAAGTGCAGCTAACAGCAAAAAGTGTTGCTGCCATTGCAGTTAGTTGGATTGTTCTTCGGGATTGACAGATTTGCCTGATTGATTCCGGCCCAAATGCAACATAAAACCAGTCTGAAACCCTTTTTAATCTTTTGTTTAAAGAATCAAACTTTGAAACTCAAAGCCAAGCTCTTTTTTATCAACAAGTTATGCTCGCATTTCTTTACTAGTTTATTTGGAATATTTGGATCATCATTTGGTATAGTAGCACTCTACGGTTTGAGCTTCATATCAGCCTCTTATTCCTTTCTGTCTTTGTTTCATATGCTCATGATGGTCTCCCCCTTATTGTCAAATCACACCTTAACAGTGAAGCTCTTACCAATTTATATTATACAGAGATACAAAGAGAGATGGCTGCAGGTGAAAATACCAAAGTAGAACATTGTAGCATCAACTGTGACAAAAAGGTCACCTGTGTTTGTTTTGATTTATCTGGGTTTCTTTCGTTGTTCCATCTGTAGTTTGGAATCAGTCTCTTCCTGTTTCAGACATTTCTTGCCTTCAGTAGCTCAACAGAACAGACATCAGCACATACATGTGTGCCTATTAACATATAGTTTGCTTGTGCACTGAAAGTTTATATTAAAGGTATAGTGGGGGATGTTCTTTTTCTGGGTGGATCATCAAAATAAGTGGTCCTCCTGTCAATCATTCTGGTGATATGTTTACGTAAGACCGTCCTGCGTGCTCGTCCCCATTTTCACTTACCGGTTGTGAGTCTGACATAGTGGAAAAATTACAAATCTTCTTTTGGAAAGTAAGCTTGTATGAGCGATGCAAGCAAAAACTTGTAAACAGTGTGTGCACAAGGAAAAATGGGCTCATGCACGCACTCACACGCGTTTAATAGGCGTTCACTCTCGGGAGCAGTTACAGGGCACAGAGTGGGTCTTTTCAAAAAGTCATGAAAATCCTCCACTATTCCTTTAATGGGCACCCAACATAGGCAAATTAAAGAGTGATTATATAGATCTGTTAACAGTTAGCTATTTTCTTGCCTCCAATTTAATTTTTTTTTTTTCTAATATACAGGCGTGCAACAGGTGTGACGTGACATAAAATGATGTTATTGATAGGTTTCTAGAGCTCTCTCGGCCTAGCAGACTATTCTGATCTACCCCTGTCCTCCTTCGATATCTCGTTATCTCCCTTAACTCCTGACCCGGACATGGCTACCTGCCTCTGACCTGTTTTAAGGCACATTTTGCTGGGATTGTTGATTTAATCTTCTGCTGGTCTTGTGTGGGCTTCAAGAGTCCTCTGTTGTCCAGGTGAGCCTTCCCCAAAGTCGGGTCTTGGTCCGGCACTTCTAATGCCGAAAGCAACCGCCACTACAGCCTCTGGATGAGGCGGTTGTCCTCTCTTAACCAGAACATGGAGATGATGTGCCAGTATTGGTACGTTTTTTTTTTTGGGGGGGACAGCAGTAGGCTGACAAGAAAGAGGGTACAACGTCGAGGACTAAGGCCTGGGTCTTTGGCGCTAACCACTGCACCACCAAAGCACGCCCTGAATGTGGAGATTTTGTTACAAAAAACGTGTTTGGTGTGAATTGGCCTTTCAGCCAATACCAATTTAGGATTGGTTTCCATGCAGATGATATAGTACTTTCCAGCATTTACCATCAACAAAAAGTCATTAAAAAACACAACTGTTATTTTGACTGTCAACTTTTGACTTCGTAGAAGAAATGTCCAAGAAGATATTCTGGCATCTAATGGATATAAATCAGTTCCCATGAATAAAAAAAAAAAATAATATTATTTCAGTGAGGAAATACTTTATTACAATGAATGTGTGAAAGGTTACCTGAGGTGTTAGCTGTCACCACACTTCTAGGGCTTTACAGTAGTATTTGTCTTCCTCATCCTACTCCTCCTCACTGTAAGCTGTTGGCGTTTACCTAGCAACAGCCACTGCCTCACCTCAGCTTGATTTCTAAGCCTAACCACAGCTGTAAGCTCAATGCAGCTCATTTTTATTTGCAAGGAGCGGCCATTGCAAAGCATTTGAAAAATCTTTCTAATTGATCAACTATTCCACCATCAAGTGTGAGAATCAGTGACATTACATTAAAGATAACCTTTCCTTTATACTCTTTGCTCCCATATAGATTAAATTATATCAAGCACACATATACAGCTTAACTCAAACAATGTTATTTTTAGTTTTGCCTTTTCTTTTCTACTTCTCAGGGAAATGTATTCTTGCAATACATGTGAATGAACATAAATAAAAGATTCCCATTTTGTCTGCTGATTCATTTTTTTAGGTTGTATTATTTCAGTGAAAGCTAGAAGAGGAAACTCATACTGTATTCAGCCTGCAGCAGGTTCTAGTGTGAATCAACTCCCAGTTTGTAAGCCCAGACTTGTCAACACTGATAAAGAACAACCCCCCTGGGTATGAAATTGTTATCTTCACATTTAACGGCAGACTGCGTTGTTTTTACTCCAGAGATGTGTCCCTATTCTCCAGAGCAGGCTGTTGTTTTTTTTTTTTTGCTGGAGAAGAGCAGAGCTGCCACTTTGGAGACTGAACCACTGCCCTTCCTGCAAAACGATAAATTCACTGCAGCATCTCTGCAGGAGTTTTTCTCAGCATCGCTGTTAGTCATTTTGATGTCAATGGTTCTGATTTACTATTGCTAAGAAATTTACAAAACACATTTTTTCTTTTTTCTGGTTATGAGAATGTGGACCGTGAAGAATAATCATAAAGTTTGTTTTTCTCCCTCTTATTTCACTCTGTGTTAAAGTTTATTTCCCTTTGTGTTTCAGACAGGGAAACCACCTGTGGAGGATCTGTTCTCAGATCTGTGTGATGGACGACGCCTTCTGGAGCTGCTGGAGGGGCTCATAGGGCATGAGCTAGTAAGGACACACACACACACCACTATTTTACCACAATGGAGCAGGCAGGGGCATACTTCAGAGCAGCACATCTGGGTACTGTACCGTCCTGTAGTGCTCCTCACAGCTGTCAGGCTGCAAGCAGACTTATGACTGAGACGTTGGATAAATGCCGAATTATGAGTTGTTTTCTGAACTAACAGCACCAAAAAAGCCCCAACCATCCATGATTCCATTTTCCTTCATGCTTATCCCAAGCGGGGTCATGAGGGGTGCTGGTGCCTAGAGGCAGGGTACACCCTGGACAGGTCGCCAGTCTATCACAGGGCAGCACAAAAATGCCATAAACAAGAGCAATTTCTGATTTTCCATCAGAAAACCTTTAAAACTGAGACAGGCTGTCCATTTATGCAAAACTATGTACACATTTTAGTACCCTAGATTTTGTAGCTTTCACACTTTACTGAGACAAATATGTTTTAGATTTAATATTGTATATTTAATGTTAAGTTAATCTTATGAGGTGAATTTTGTTCAGTTATTGTTACAAGCAAAAAAAAAAAAAAAAAAAACATGTTTTGTGATTTAGTTGTAAAAATATTTCAATCCAGAAAGGAAACTTGGAAAAATGCTTAATCAAAAAACTGTACATTATAACTTTACTCACATTTTCATTTATTATTTTCTTTTTCAAATGCATTTTTGAAAGTTTATATCTCAAAACCTTTATTTTTTTAAGTAAGAAGTGTAATTTCTTTACATGCATTCTTAGCCTGTAACAATGATGGAGCAAAATTTACTCCATATTCAAATCAATCCATTTTATTTATATAGCACCAATTCATAACATGTCATCTCAAGGTTCAACCAGATCATGCAGTCAAATTGATTCAACGTTTTCTGTCTAAGGAAAACCAGCTGATTCCATGGACCCACTGAGACAAAAATAGAGTGCATACAGTTAGTCACAGTGAAGGAAACAACACAACAATGAAAAACAGGCCAAGCTCCAACATCTATAAAATGAGGTGTTGAGCTGATACTTCAATCCAGAATGGAGTCACATCCAAACCACAACAGACCAGATGAAGCTACTGTGAGAGAAAAAAGTAGAAAAAACATTAAGTTATTTAATACGGAAGAATGGGAGAATATAATTAGAATGGAGCAGAATGAGGGAAAGTGGTGCCTATGTCATCCAGCAGCCTACATATATAGAAGCATAAATATAGAAAACAGCTCAGAATAACTGACTATTTTGGATAAGAGAAAGTAGAGCACCAGAGGGGTTTAGTTGAAATGTTTGTCCCGACTGAATTCTCCCCTGCTAGATTGGCCTGCCTACACCTACTATTCTTCGACTCGTCTACCAAAATGACTCAGAGTTGATCAGCAACTCGTCCCAACGTTCATGAACGCTCATTTCGAAAAACATAAAATTTCAGCCCTGACTCCACTTGCAAGGTCCTGTTTCTTAAGCTTTCATGTAACCTTTTTTTCAATGGTGCCACGATTCTGCTGTCCAGCTGTCAGTCCTGAAAACAGCAGGGTACACAGAAAAATTTTAAATCTTAAGTCATTTTTCCCTAAAATAAATGCATTTTTTCTTGGATTGAGGAGGTAAGTGAGACATTTTGCCAATGGAACAAGACAATTTACATTTATAATAAGAAAAAAACAGTTGCATTGTTTTATTTCAAGTGCATTTTTTCTAATTATCTTATTTTAAGAGTAAAATTCGTTCCATTGGCAAATCCTCTTACTTACCTATTCAAATTAAGGGTAAATACACTTAATTTAAGATACCTTTACTCATTTCTAGACTGTTTTTACAGTGTATGAGTTTGGCATCAACCAATTTAGGTTAAAAAGCTGGGTGATAAACTAAAGCATACCAGGAATCCCACCTCCAAAGGTTTATAGGAAACAGAATGAAGTTTATGCATTTAAAGTCTACCTTAAACAAACTGAGACTCATTAGAAGTTACCATAAAGGACTGATGGTGGTTGCCGCCACCAACATGAATTTATATAAGACATGCAAGTGAAAAAAAATCTGATTTTCTATCACACACATGCAAACATACCCTTTATATTTTGGTTTATGTTGGTGCTTACGGTTGCACTTAAGGATGCAGAGCCTGGTTTATCCTCACTAACATCCTTTACCTCCTTCCTGTGTGTGTGCAGGTGAGACTGGAGAAAGGGACCACCCGTGTTCACTCACTTAACAATGTCAACCGGGCTCTGCAGATCTTGCAGAAGAACAATGTGAGTACACACACACACTAAACACTGTTATTCAGACTTATTATACTGTATTGATTCCCCCTACATTAGCCACTAGACAGTCGACTCACCAGCTGAACATATCGATGAATATTCGTACCTTGTTTTGGTATACAAATTGTATATAAAGAACTTAAAAAGGCTTTAAGGGATCCACAACTAGTTTAAAATGTCAGCCTACTGTAAATACATTTTATTACTAAAAATATTTGCTTATCCAATCACACTATTGGAAGGTGTCCCAATCATTTCCATGGCTAAAGGTTTATAAAATTAGGCATCTAGGCATGTAGGCTGTTGTTACAAACATTTCTGAATGTCCTGACAGGCGTTTTAAAGAAAATAAGACATTTATATAGCATCAGTAATGTGACTAAAGGCTTTGTCACATGCAGAAGGTTTCCTTTGATAGAAATCATCCGTTTTATATAACCAGATTCCTTTTATGAGCTGAAATGCACGTTATTGTGCCCAAACTGACAGCACTGCCAGGCACAGATTGTTCTCTAAAACCTTAGGGGATCAACTATAGTTCAGCTGTCTCAGTCCAAACTTTCTACAATTCTAGTAAAGATGCCACTATATAGAATCTCTAGTGTTTCTTACACTTTGAAAATAACTTTTTTTATGTTTATTTATAATGTGAGGCTAAATATATACATATATATTTGCCCTTGTTAAATCACAGGTTAATTGGATACAGCAAAAGCGCACTTTAACTTGAAGAGTAATTTTTTTTTCCTTCTACCTTTACACTGGTACCAAAAGCTTGAATTTAAAGCTGATAATTGCAGAGCTATTCTCGATTTATTTCAGTTGTAAACCCATTTTTTAATAGGTTTCTGGAAAAAAATGTTACATCTAGGGTTGTAATAGAAATCCTAATTATAATAAATATTTAAGTTTTTTTTTAGATAACAATTTGTTGCATTTGATTAATAGATAATGTCGGCTTTTAATGGTTCTAATGTAACCACCATCCAGCAGATGGCATAGAGAGTGTTTGCAAGAGAAGTAAAGCAATGCTAGAGCAGAACCATAAAATGATCTGAAGTCCGCTGCAGCTATTTACACTGTTTTTACACGTTTATGGTTCAGTTTTTTATACACAAACACTTAATAGCGTCCATTTAATCACCTTTTTAAAGGTGCTGCTAGAAATACAAAATCTCTCTCAGCACTGAATGTTGGCTCACAATAAACATAGCTACTCACATTTAGCATCCACTTCATTAAAAATAAAGTGACAAATGGTCTAACAGTATGTTGGAGTGACATCCACAGATAATAATGCTAGTTTTAAATCCATTTATTTTGGAAATTATATTTGTTTTACGTATTTTATTAATTAATTCAATTTACATATTTATTATTTAATTTTCTACTCAGTAACCTTGTAATTTACAGTATAACTAAGGTCAATAATCTAAAAAAATGTTTGTTTACATTGGAAATATGATCTAGAAATGAATAAAAATGTCTTAAATTAAGTGTATTTACCCTTAATTTGAGTAGGTAAATGAGATAGTTTGCCAATGGAATTAGTATTTTTAGTCTTAAAATAAGTTAATTAGATAATATGCACTTGAAATTAGACAATGCAGTTGTGTTTTCTTATTTTAAGTTTAAATTGTCCTGTTCCATTGGCAAAATGTCTCTTTTACCTCCTTAATCCAAGAAAAAATGTACTTATTTTAAGAAAAAATGACTTATTTAGTTTTCGATTTTACCCAGTGCAGTCAGAATTTACACATGATTAAAATTTAATGATCTACAACCTTTCTACAATTGAGCATATCTAACATATTTAACTATCATATTTCCTTATGTTAATGAATAGATCCACTTGATGAAAAGAGAAAGAGAAAACTGAAGTTTTAGAAAGAAATGTCTACTTATCAATTTTTCGTTAGTCAACAGATAACATCGACCAATTGTTGACACATTACCAGCAGTTATTGATCACTTTGCTGTTATTAAACTAGGCACTCTTTGTTTGTTTTTGTTTGTTTTGTTTTTGTGAAGGTAAAAACTGAAGCATTAGTCAGAGTAAAGGTACCAAAATAGTAAAATAAGGAACCTACTTTAATGCTTAAACCTTATGCCCCTCCCCCTCTTTCTTTTATGGCATCCGATTAGTGAAGGTAAATACTGTAGTGCTTGTAGTTGCGGTAAAAAAAAAGGCAGCCATGAGATTGTTGTTTCTCTACTTCCCCTCTGCAGGTTGATTTGGTGAATATCGGAGCGGCAGACATTGTGGATGGCAATCACAAACTGATTCTCGGGCTCATCTGGAGCATTATTCTCCACTGGCAGGTGTGTTTTTGGATGCGCGCGTGTGTGTGTGCGTTTATGTGCATCGTTTTTAGTCAACATTTTGCTCCAAGGGATTTTATTTCTTTCTATTTCTTCTCACCCAATAGATGGCTTTGATATTTACTGGGGAGAAATGAAGTAGCTCAGTCATCAGAGTTTCTTCTTTTTGTTTCACATTATGCTAAACAGATTGCGTCCCTATCTGATGTACTTTGGGAACTCTTTGCCTTTGTTGTGAAATGTTAACAGAAGATTATGAATATATGAAATACCTATAACTGGAAGTAATTGCTAATTAATAGTTCATTCAAAATTGAGGTAAAAACCAATTGATAATTATTAATTAAAAGATTATAACTGTAATTTGCTTAATTATCCAGGTTCTTAGTCTTTTACATACAATAATATAATAATAATCACTACAATAACAATTACTGATGAGAAATATAGGTATAAATAAATTATATATATATAATATACCATTTTAAACATAAAAAGACAAAATAAAGCAACAATGACGTGTACTGTCCATCGTCCATCGAAACACAAAACTTCATACAAGATGAAAAAAATGGATTAATAGAAAACTCTGTAAAAGATTTTAAAAATTCTGCTATGGTTGTGTTTAATAGAAACTGAATGTGACATAGATCTCGGTGAATACGCTCAAGTCTGTTCTTCTGGCAGATTATTTCAGAAATACCAGAGCAGTATACTGCTATTCTGTAAGTATGTAAGTAATTATGAACACATACGGTATTAATGTGTTTAGTTTTAACCTCAGTAGTCCTCTTCCATGTTTAGATGCGTTCCAGGCAAATTACCTCTTTAATAGGCTCTGCAGAGGTCAAAAGGTCAAAGTATATGCTTCTGTCCAGACTGAAATCTAATGCTACATTCTCACAAAGGTTTGGATGCTCAGTTATTAATTATATTGCAGATTTTCTTTTTTTTTTCTTTTTACTTTAGTGAAGTCAGCCTTCACTGAAGTTTTCATGATCCCCAAGTAACCTGGATGCACAATAAGTAAATGCAAGTAAAGGACGATAGGAAATATTTATTATTACATTGAGTAATGGAAATCGATAATAGGGCTGGGTAAAAATCGATTTAATTTAATTTACATTTTTGCAAAATCGATGTCTAGGGAATGAGAGCGATTACTTTTATAGTAAAGCGTGTGACGTTCACATTCAAATGGGCAGGACAGTGCTCGGGTCTTGGGGTAGTTTCAAAAGGGTTATGTAAATAGGGTTATTATCCAGTGTTAACTATATAAGCTAGCCTGATCACCATTAGCAGAAGCTAACTTGAAATCAAAATCAAATAGCCAATTAAATAATTAACGACTGTTTAAAGTGACAGTGAAGCACGTTTCAGTCGTTTTATTGCATTGTTGTAATATATATCTAACAGTTGGTTAGAAATTTGTAGCTCTCTCTAGCATAGCTCTCCATCTGCGTTAGCATCTTTAGCAGCAGCCTGGCAAAAAGCAGCTTCTTCTCCTCCATGTCATCCTCCTCATTATCATTATTTCATCTGATTTCTACATTCTCATCGATTGCAGTATTTTGTGAAGAGCATTGAAATTCGATAAAAAGAAGAGTACTCTAGTTTGCAGCTGAGGTAGCATTCAGTATAATCTGTATAATCTGTTTTTGTCCCCTTATGGGCTGTAAGTGTCTATGGTGAATAAAGGTGCTTTACAGTAAAAGGAACCTAACCGTTGTGAACCTATAACCTTCACAAAGATGAAGATTTAAGACTCATGAATCAAGTGATGAAGATGTTTTGGGAGGTCTGATAAGGTTTATGGAACGGTTAAACCTACGCTTTTTAGAATTGACTTTTTAGTATTAATTTAAAAGTTTTTTTATCTTTATACATGGAAAAAATGTCAGACTCGTGTTTTGATTGAGGGGTTTCCAGCCTAGGCTGTCTTTTATTCTCCTGAGACGTCATCCATTCGTCACCCCGCTCTGTTGGGGACATTTTCGTGTGTTCTTATTTTTCTCTTTTTTTCACAATTTGTTTCGTTTTAGTATTTTTCTTCTTTCCTTTTCCACAATGTATTCGTCTTGCCTGAGGCATGAACTTGACGCTTCATCTCCAGGGGCCGTTCTCTTGGATCTTCTCTGTTTTATCGTGGATTGGGGCTCTGATGCTTACGAATCCTTTGCCTCTCTCCTTATGCTTGGTGTACAGCACCAATCTGAATTATCAGTCGCCTCTGCCTGCTTTTAAGGCCAGGCTATTATACCACTGGGTTTATCTGATGAACTGCAGGGCACATGCATTGGTGACTTGGACTTTATTCTTATCATTTAGCCGGCTCTTTAGGAGCCACTTGATCATCACCGGTAGTTATAATCATCTTCCATCGCTATGATTTCACTGGACTGCTTTTATCACATCATTATGAGGCTTTGCTATTATTGCTTTTCCTGTCGCCTTAGCTCAGCATTATGGTGCCACTATGAATCTTAATATTGTTTTTAGGCATGCAGAGAAGTTCTTGGTTCGATGTTTTTACTCTTCTTGGAGAAGTGTTTATATCCATTGACGTTTTTCCGGTTTTAGCACATTGTACAGTGAAGGAAATAAGTATTTGACCCTTTGCTGATTTTGCAGGTTTGCCCACTTCCAAAAAATGCAACGATCTATACTTTTAATCATATGGACATATGGATCCCAAAGAAAATTCCAGAAAATCACATCATATGAATTTATTAAAATTGATAACCATCTGATGAGGAAAAAAAAGTATATGACCCCCTCGACAAACAACACGTTAAAGGAAAATTCCGGTTTTTAACACTTTTAGCCCCTTTTCTGTAGTGTCCAGGATGAAATCGAATGATCGACACCAAAATTTTGACGATTGGTCCTGTCTCGGCTATTTGGCTCATGTAGAATCCCCCCTGGCTGCTTCAGAATGGCTTGCATAGTGCATGTCAGATAATGTCCTTAAAACAACCGTAAACGTTCTTTTTTTAAAATATGCTACTCACCGGGTCGTCAGCGCAGTTCAATGACGTTCCTAAAAAAGTTTCGTGAAGAAAAACCGTTCCTGTCTTGTTTTATTTAGCATTTTGTAAATCCCAGAACTATTTTTTCAGATACATCACAACCGCTTATAAACTTCCGCTTCCCGTTCGAATCTGAAGCGTTGCACACTCCAGACCACTAGTTGGCGACAATGTCTCTATACTTTGGGAATGTAGGACCACTGTGTACGACATAGCAAACAAATTTTCAGAGTTTTTTATAGTGTTTAACAGAGACGTTAGCACCTCAACGTCGGAGTACACAGAGTGAAGCAGAAACATTTGGGCCTTGCGAAAGGACTACAACTAAGCGTAAACAGGCCCCCTTTCCGTTTCCGGTGGCGGAGGGATATTGACTATTCCAACAGAACTCAACGGGATTTACAAAATGCTAAATAAAACACTACAGGAACGTTTTTTCTTCACGAAACTTTTTTTGGAACGTCATTGAACAGCGCTGACGACCCGGTGACTAGCATATTTTAAAAAAAGAAAGTTTAAGGTTGTTTTAAGGATATTATCGGACATGCACTATGCAAGCCATTCTGAAGCAGCCAGGGGGGATTCTGCATGAGCCAAATAGCCGAGACAGGACCAATCGTCAAAATTTTGGTGTCGATCATTCGATTTCATCCTGGACACTACAGAAAATGGGCTAAAAGTGTTAAAAACCGGAATTCTCCTTTAATATTTTGTAGAAAAGCCATTTTTGGCCAGCACAGATGTCAAACGGTTTTTATAGTTGGTGACAAGGTTTGTGCACATTTGTTTGTGCACAAGGTTTGTGCACGGCAGGGATGTTGGCCCACTCCTCCCTGCAGACAGCCTCCAAATCATTCAGGTTCCAACGTTGTCGTCTGGCAACTCGAATTTTAAGCTCCCTCCAAAGATTTTCAATTGGATTCAGGTCTGGAGACTGGCTAGGCCACTCCAGAACCTTGATGTGCTTCCTCTTCAGCCACTCTTTTGGCGGTGTGCTTAGGGTCGTTGTCTTGCTGAAACACCCATCCTCGACCCATCTTCAGCTCTCTCAATGAGGGAAGGAGATGTTGGTCCAGAATTCCACGATAGCCTACATGGCCCCGTCCATTCTCCCCTCAATACAATGGAGTTGTCCCCTTGGCTGAAAAGCACCCCCAAAGCATGATGTTGCCACCACCATGCTTGATGGTGGGGATGGTGTTCTTTGGGTTGTACTCGGTGTTCTTTGCTCTCCAAACACGACGAGTTGAGTTGAGGCCAAAAAGTTCTATTTTGGTCTCATCTGACCACATCACCTTCTTCCAGGCCTCTTCAGAGTCATCCAGGTGGTGAATGGTGAACTTCAGGCAGGCCTGTACATGTTTCTTCTTGAGCAGAGGGATCTTGCGTGCGCTGCAGGATTTCAATCCATGACGGCGCAGTGTGTTACCAACCGTTTCTTTTGTAACTGTGGTCCCAGCTGCCTTCAATTGATTCATCAGTTCCCTCCTTGTGGTTTTGGGATGATTCCTCACCGTTCGCATGATCAGGGACACCCCACGAGGCAAGATCTTGTGTGGAGTTCCAGACTGAGGGAGGTTGGCGGTGGTGTGGTGCTTCTTCCAATTTCTGATAACTGCACCAACAGTTGATCTTTTCTCTCCAAGTTGCTTTCCGATTCTCTTGTAGCCCATCCCAGCCTTGTGCAGATCAACAATCTTGTCCCTGATGTCCGTAGAAAGCTCTTTGGTCTTGTCCATGGTGGTGATGTTGGATGCTGGTTGTTTGGGTGTCGACAGGTGTCTTTTATACAGGTAATGAGGTGAGGCAGGTGTATTTGATGTAGATAATTTGTTGGGATTGGGGCTGTGTCTTAAAGAAAGACTAACTGGCTTGTAGGAGCCAGAATACTTGTTGTTTGGTAGGGGTTCAAATACTTGTTTTTCCTCATCAGATGGTTATCAATTTTTATAAATTCATATGATGTGAATT